GGGGGGGGGGGCGGCTTGTTTTACAACGTCGTTACCAAGCGACGAAAACCCAACCCCGACGGCAAACACCGGGCGGGGCGGTGTCCCCGGGGGGGGAAGAAAATTTCATGTCCCCTGCTTCGCTTTTTCCTATACATTGGGTAGGATATATCACCAAATTTCGCTGAAAACCCACCTTCCCGACCCCGGATAAAAAATCTGAGACCGGATATCGCATGTACACACCCAGAGCAACCCACAATTGACTTTTCAGAGCTTAGGCTGTTTGGCAACAACTCCAATCTCAACCTCACTTCGGCATACGCCGGAAGACCCCCTTGTCAAAAACGTTCTCGGCCAGCACAGGCAACAACAGTAGACTCGGAGTCGAGCGAAGAGGGAGGGGGAAGTGAAGAAGAGGGAGGGGTAGAGGAGATAGGCCAGTCGTTCGCTTCGATGGTGGTGCCCACCACGGACCTCGTTCGGCTAACCTTCCTGACGGAACTCTTGGTCGGAATGAAACGGTAAGGAGGGGCCCGGCGACAATTCATCCATCGGGAGAGAAAAATATACTAGAAATAGTCTAGAGTTTTGGTTATTGGTGTGCTGCTACGTGTGATATGTGGCTTGATAGAGAACGTACGCGTTGAGCAGAGGGTTAATTTTGGATCACGATTTTGATTTGGAACAAGGTACTACTGTATGTGGAGTTACTGTGCTACTGATTCGTACGCACTGGTTCATANAATGAAACGGTAAGGAGGGGTCCGGCGACAATTCATCCATCGGGAGAGAAAAATATACTAGAAATAGTCTAGAGTTTTGGTTATTGGTGTGCTGCTACGTGTGATATGTGGCTTGATNGATGAAACGGTAAGGAGGGGCCCGGCGACAATTCATCCATCGGGAGAGAAAAAAAACTAGAAATATCTAGAGTTTTGGTTATTGGTGTGCTGCTACGTGTGATATGTGGCTTGATAGAGAGCGTACGCGTTGAGCAGAGGGTTAATTTTGGATCACGATTTTGATTTGGAACAAGGTACTACTGTATGTGGAGTTACTGTGCTACTGATTCGTACGCACTGGTTCATACGACCCTTTGAGCTCCGTATTGCATGCACTGGTTCGTACGATCCATTGAGCTCCATATAACAAAGATGTGAAGCATGAACGTCCCCACTCCCATGTTTTGTTGTCCATGCTCTATCGTTCATCCCTCATGTCGATCGGCCAATATCCCTNGATTAACAAAGATGTGAAGCATGAACGTCCCCACTCCCATGTTTTGTTGTCCANTAGAGAGCGTACGCGTTGAGCAGAGGGTTAATTTTGGATCACGATTTTGATTTGGAACAAGGTACTACTGTATGTGGAGTTACTGTGCTACTGATTCGTACGCACTGGTTCATACGACCCTTTGAGCTCCGTATTGCATGCACTGGTTCGTACGATCCATTGAGCTCCATATAGATTAACAAAGATGTGAAGCATGAACGTCCCCACTCCCATGTTTTGTTGTCCATGCTCTATCGTTCATCCCTCATGTCGATCGGCCAATATCCCTCAAGACACGTAATGCTGGTTGGTTCCGCGGGGACGGGCAAGACCTCCCTGGTGCAAGGGTTCCTCAGCGAAAAAGCTAGCGACACTCTTCTCTCGTGCACGATCAATACAAGCTACTATACCGACGCTGCCGCCTTGCAACGTCAGCTGGAGCAGCCCTTAGACAAGGTACCCAACGACTCGCTGTAGGCATGGGTACGACAACGTGTAGAATTATGTAGTACTTGAAGTAGTTGTACTTCACGAACAACAAAGTTTCCAGTCAAGTCCGTCCAGCATCGAAACCTATGGTGTAGCTTGTCATGCGTGGATGCCTCGTTGCAGAATACCTCACGGTACACTCCAATAGTGTCCCCCATATGCCGAACCAAGGTTAGGTTGACGTGCCCTGAACGCCATTTTTGCCATTTTCCTGTTGTTTTGCAGAGAAGCGGCAAGACCTACGGGCCTCCCAGCTCAAAGAGGCTGATCTACTTCGTTGACGACCTGAACATGCCCTTCATTGAGGAGTACGGCACGCAGACACCGATCGCGCTCCTGAGACAGTTCATGGACTACCGAGGGTAGGTGGTAGACTACTGTTTTCTACACCCTACATGTCGACACTGTCAACCAGTGACTTTATCTACAGATGAACAGGCTGTGGATGGTACGCCGAAGCATTGAGTCCACAAAAGAGCGTCCCTGCAATCCCTGCCAGGGTTGATGTCATAATACATGTTGACAAGCGTACATCATGATGGCATCAACACTCGCAGGGACCCTCTTTTGTTAACTTCAATGCTTGTAATGCTGTTGTGTTTGAAAGAGGTTCGAAGCTAGTGAAGGACCGCACGATCTTGGTGTGTGGGCGAACCTCTTTTCGCTCTACCAACCGACCGCCTTTTTCGCCTACCAACCGACAGACACAGACAAGCCATTACCACTTTTTCAGAAGCGCTTTGTTTCAAAACTATACCCGTACACCGTCGCACTTTGGGCCTTGGGTTTGGGTGTGACACGCTTTCGATGTCATCGCGAGGTTTGATTTCCGTTGCCGCGCTTGTCAGGTGGTACGACCGCGCGGACTTGGGTCTAAGGAAGAACATAGTGGACGTTCAATTCCTGGGCGCGATGAACCACAAAAGCGGCTCCTTCTCCTTAAACCCTCGCCTGCAGAGGCACTTCGTTACGTTCGCCTGCCAGACTCCGGCCGACGACGACCTTATCACGGTAGGTTTGCCGAAATTGATTGTCCTACCCTTGCATGAATAGGCACTTGGCGGTGTATCGCAGGATGCTCCGCGCCAAAGCGATCGGGGAACATGCACACCGCGCATCGAATTCAAAAGTGGCGATGTGTGTATGCGCGTCGTCCAATCTATGCTGAACTCCACTTCCTTTATCTCTGGATTTGCGTTCTGGACGCACCGGCTGAGGGTACAAAGGGGGAAGGTCATGCAGCGGTGCACCAATTGAAACCTCGAGGTTCCCTGAACGCATCACCTAGCGAGAAAAACATTCGAATTGGATATTTACCTTCGACCTCCTTTCACGCCGGGGAGCTGCTGATAAGTGTCCGGCGCACCACCCCCGGTTGCTACACAGTACGTGAAGAGGTCGTCATGAATCACCCGCATCCTTCGAGCGTTGCGCGCCGGATAACCTTTGGGTTGTTATTCGAACGGCTCCCGGCAAGTCCTGTAGCTGCACCTGGCGAGTCAATTGGTCAAAACTTGAGACCAAGTGTCGGATGTACAGGGGACGATATATGAAATTCCATGCCAAGCATGTCCCTCGAGCTGGAGAAGCGGGAAGCTGGCATTACGTTCCCTTGTGAGTTCAGGTACCATGAAAATATGTACCCGCTTATGCCGGACATCCAAATTCAGATTTATGGCGCAGTGGTCGGGGGACACCTCAACTCCTTCCCCTCAGACATTCGGCGCTTCGGAGGGCCGGTTCTCGACGCGACGATATCTCTGTATCGCTCGGTTTGCGCAAAGTTTCTTCCGACAGCTGTCAAGTTCTACTACGGCTTCAACCTTCGCGACCTCTCCTGCCTCGTACAAGTAAGTGATTTGACGGCGGACCGACGACAGAACGCATTAGTCTACCTTAGTAGTAGAATAGACGATGGGAAGCCCGCGAGGTACAGTACTGCAGTATGAACATTATTGGTTGCAAATGGCTGGGAATGAAAGGTCACCTGTGCCCTTGAAATCGTACGTGATGTCAGCCTTCCACGACGTTACGAGTCTTGTGTGGTAGTATCCATGTTACCAAGAACTCCTGACATTGCGCAAGGCAACCCGAGATTCCCAAGTGCCATTTTCACGACCGAAATAGCGCGTGGCCATTACTCACCCCTCCAGCATCCCCCCCGGCCACCTGGGAAACCAATAACATCATACACTTTTCTGTTTGTTCGGGTGCAGGGGCTGTGCATGGCGAGACCTGAGAACTGCACGTCAAAGAGCTGGTTTGCCCGGTTATGGCGCCACGAATGCGAAAGAGTCTACTCTGACAGGTGACCTCTTCTTTGGGTTATCATTCTCGCTCACACCTTCCATTGACATGGTGCGATGGGCGTCCCAATACAACCCAGCAGAGGAATGCTTCAGACGCTAGCCCAGCGCTGCCGTCGGTGTTGGTTGTCAGAAAACGTTATTGTGGTGGACCAGGGGACGACGGGTGTGTAGGTTACAATCACATTTCATTTTTTGGCGTGACCGGAAGATTACGTGTGTACGTTATAAATATGACTGGTTGATCTTTCTTTGGAATCTTCACGGCAAAAGGTTCCAACAACGAAGATCATTGCTTGAGAATACACCTTCCTGGCCTGATGCTTCACTTCCATGAATCCGACTGAAATGTTGCATGTTTTTTTTTTAAACCGACTTCTCTGATCACCCCTGAGCCTTACTTCGACGGGGACTCGATCTCAAAACCTTGATGTAACCGCTACAATCTGCTTGCAGGCTCATGTCCGACAGCGAGGTGAAGGCGTTCGAAGACATGATGCAAGAAGCGGCCAAGAAGCACCTAGGCCTTGATGTGAGTTCTTCATCTCGATCAACACTCTGGAGGGGCAGCAGGAAGTCTTACCCTTCCGGTTTCGCTTCTGTTGGGTATGCACCTGGCCTTGTTGGCCAATCCATTCGCTCTTGACCTAGACGGAGGTTGCGCACATTTATCTACCGGCTGTTATTTAGGATTGTAGGGGAAAAGTGCCGTGTCTTACGCTTGCCTCGCTGAGACTTTATTTTGCACATACGTGGTTATTCGGGATGGATGGTTGTATTATGGTTGTCCTTGAGGAGGATCGTCGTCGCGGGTCGTCAAGCATATTTAATAGAGTTCCGTCGCACCGGCACTAGGTAACACCTACATACGTCGTATATCGTCGACTGTTCTTTCGTGCGTCACAACAGCACGCCCAAAATGAGGTGTTCCAGGAAACTAATGTCTTCACGTCCTTCGCGGTCCAACCAGAGGACCTCGACCTCGACTCAGCCTCGTATGTCCCGGTGCCGTCCATGGATTATCTCAAGCAAGACCTGCAGGACAGAATTAAGGTATGAGGGCGGCTCCTGCCGCTGGCTTCAGTGGAGAACTTTAGCTCTCCAACGAAATATCCCTACGCTATTTGCGCTTCGCTGAACACGACCCGACCAGGCTCATTTTACGAGGTGCCGCAGAAGATTGTCGCAGTTTCGCCGCATCCTCACGTTTCAGCCTCGTGCTATTTGGAGATATCGAGGCGGCCAAACAGCCGAAAACCAATGCTGAAGAAGTCTTCCACTCCTTGCTTATGACGAGTTGGAGTTTACCTCGAGTTTCTCGACGGATCATTCTGTAGTGTATGCTCAGAGATGTGACCGGGGCGTTGCGCTAGCAACGTCCGTTTATCCAGCGACTACAGGGCATACTGTAGTGCAAACAAACCCACCCCCCTTGAAACCAGATAAAATGCCGCTAGTGACCTACCGCTTTTTCTTGGCCTTCTTGCCGGCGTCCCACCCCTTCGATCCCGCCATAAGGTTTTATTGGCGAAGCACGTCATGATGTACCTGCTCTTTGCCGACGAGATCCTGCCATGCTCCCCCCCCCCCCCCCCCCCCC